TAGATCGGCATGTATCTGTGGACCTCCTAGGGCCACGCCAGGAGTGGTCACAGGGATGGAAGATGCAGCAGTGAGCAGAGAGCGGTAGACATAACAGGTGGCTGATGGAGATACACAACAGTCAGCCAGCGCTGCTCCAGGACATCAGGCGGGGCAGGGAGACTCCCAGCAGGCTGTCCTTGCGCGCACTTGAGAGAGCCTTGGAGGAAACCACCATTGTGTCTGCAGCACATGCAAAAGCTGTGGGGTGGGAAACAGCCCCCGCGGGTTGAGCGTCAGCAGAGAGGCTGCAGCTAGGGAACAAGAGGAGGGCTAAGGCAGGATAGAAGAGGGGAAACGGGGACGAGGAGGCGAAGTCCACTTCCGGGCATCACCTAGGCTCAGATTTGGCAAGCTGCTGGCCTCACTAGAACTATCTTCCTGTGGCATCTGACACCAGTCCTGGGGGAAGCCTTGTTAGTCATGGAGATGAGGAGCACCCATGGGCACCAACGGGCGGGACAAAGGAACACAGGTGTTATGCAACCTACAGATAGGGGCACGGAGGCCTAGAACCTGGAGCTATGTGAGATGTGGCCATACTGAAGGAATACCAAGGAGGCAGCTAGACAGGAAGTGAGCCAGGGTGCCCTCCCTTAAGATGAGCTAGTCCTCCATGACAGGGCCAGGGACATTCTGAGGACAAAGCTGGAGGGAGGGTAGATGAGTCATTTTCCTTTTTGCTCCAGTGAACTGGGGAGACAGTGCGCCCCAAGTCTCAGCTGAGGCCTAGTGGAGGAAGGGACTTTGTATACCCATCCAGGCATGTGTGGCCCAGGAATAGTCATTGATGAGCCAAGCAGGAGATGGCTCCCCTTCCCGTGAGGCCATGCCATCTAGCTCTCCGTCTACTCCGGATCCCTGGCTGAGGCAGACTGGGTACCCCACACACTTACAACCGCCTGATGATATTCCAGGGTTGTGGCCACAGCGGATGGACACTGTGAGTGAAGGAATGTGTGGTAGGAAGTCACAACAGTGAGTCACTGTGACTCAGCCTGGTGCCTGCCAGGGGCCCTCTGAGCAGCCCCTTAGTCCGTCCTCCTCAGGACAGAGCTTGAGTGGAGCTCTTACACCCCTGCAAAGGAGGCCCAGCAACCTCCATCCTGTCCTGCTTTGTGCCCTGACATTTGGGGAGTGGGAGAGGAAGTCAGGTGGCAGGTTCTAGAACCCGAGCCGGAGAAAGGAGGGAAGAGTAAATCCGAGAAGACTCTATCCTCCACCTTCTTCAGCAACTCATCTCATCCTGCAAGCATTCATGTTTTCTGACTAGGAAAGTGAGGCTGGAGAAGGGAGGAATAGAGGCCTGGCCAAGGTCAAGAGACTGATGAGGCTAAAGGAAACAAACTCCAAGCCCATGTCCTAGCCTGGCTCAGTTGATGGAAGACACAAGCTATGCATGACAAAATTGTGTCCATGAGGTCCCCAGCTTCTTTTCCAGAATCATCTCACATAACCCAAATCCATGCCTAAGATGTCCCAAGTACCTATTCCACTGTCTCCTATCAGAGCATCTACTTAACTATCATCACCAACCATCCATCTGTCTTTCTAGCCAGAGATCTGCCAGCCATCATCTACCAGTCCATCTCTCCAGACATCTGTCCATTGGTCTACACATTCATCCATTACCCATCTATCCATCCACCCATATATCCACCCATATACCCACCTATCCATCTTCCTACCCATCCATACATCTACTTACCCATCCACCCACCCATCCATTTATCTATCCATCACCCATCCATTTACCTATCCATCCACCTATCCATCTATATATCATCTATCTACTACTGATACAACCATCATCCACTAACCCACCCATCCATGTACCTATTCATTCATCCATTCATTTACCTACTCACCCATGCCTTCATCTAACCTCTTTTAGACTGTTCACTCATTCATTAACTTCTTTATCCTTCCATGTGTCTATTGATCATCCATCCATCCATCTATCCATCCATTTTAGTAACTTAACAAGCCCTGGGGCTTCTTAGCCTCTAGAATCATCCATAATCTCTTGTCTCCCCTCCAGCATTTGACTCTGTTCTTTCCAGCCAGCCCAGTGATTCAGACAAACACAGCCCATGACATTCCAGAGCTCACAGTCTCCAAGGCAGACAAAAGCTGCATCCAGAGACCTGATCCTATCATTTGCCCTCCCTTCAACATTGTGCCTCCTGGGGTTGGTTGAGTCCTTGCTGCAGTTATGGCTGGTCTGGGAGGAGACTGGGAGGCCACTAGGGACTAGGCCACCCTCCAGACACAAAATGCATGAATAAGACTTGATTCCAGAGCCTCAGTTTCCCCAACTGCAGAAGCAGGAAGATTGCCTACTTAGGGGTGGAATGAGATGGAGATGAAACTCTCTATTGGAAATGACAATGCAGAACTCATGACAGTTGTGACAGACAATGCTAGAGTCAGTTGGGAGAGTTCTGTGGTGTCCATGAGACTGTCCCCATGCATCCACTATGGTGGTGCCAAAGACAAGAGAGAGACACTGACACTTCCTTCGGGTCAAGTCCCAGAGCCAATCCCATGTTGTATTTTTTCCCTGTTTTTTGTTTTGTTTGTTTGTTTTTAAAATTGTGTGCGTGTGCTGTATGAGTGCAGCCAAAAGAGGTGTCAGATCCCCTGGCTGGAGTTATAGGAGACTGTAAACTGCCTTGTGGTGGTGGTGGGATCTGAACGTGGGTCCTCTGGAACAGTGACAAGTGTTCTTAACTGCTGAGCCATCTCTCCAGCCCTGGATTTTCCCTCTTAATTGCTATTCCCATCATTCTGTGAAACAGACAAAACTCACAGAAGCCCCAAGACCATGGCGGCCAATGGAAACCTGCAAATGCTTTTGGGAATGGAAGTGGCCAAGGACCCAGCCCTGTCAACCCCAAAGGAGACCCCGATGGCTGCTCAGGATCACCTGGTCCCTGTTCCTCTGGACTCCAGGACTCCAGAGCTTGAGACAGAGGAAGCGCTGGATCCAGGGTGTTACTGACAGCTCCCAGAGGGAATCCAGAGTCACTTCTTCCCAGGGAAGGGCCAGGTATTGGTTTGGTTGCAAATTCAGGGCTCAGACAGTCCACTCCACACTCCACACACATACACACATCTGCCCTGCATCTCCCAGATTGGCCAAGGTACAGTTTTCCATTCCCTCCAGCAATATTTGTAAGAAAACCCCAGAGCCCTGGTAGCCTTGGCCACCCTTCTGATAAGAGACAGCCCAGGGCAGCCCCACAGCCCTCCAGGATCTTAGAAGTGTGGCCTATCTCTCTGCTGGACCTCTGTCCTGATAGGCCCCCTGGTCCCTAGTCCAAGGAGCATCAGGAAGCCATCCACTCGCTCCAGGCAAACAGCCAGTCACCTATGCTCTGCCCAGCCCTGGATCCATCAGCACAGGTCCAGCCCTAGCCCACCTCTCCCGACTAGGTCCCTAGGTTCCCAGTGGTCCTTAGTACCCTCTCTTAAATGGTCTCAGGTCTTCAAAACTCCATGCTCTCGCATGCATTTGAGCCCTGCATGTGCCAGGACCCTCTACCTGGCCTCTCCTTCCTGCCTCTTCTTTGGCTGATCTCCTCCCAGTCCCCAATGTCTGCTTGGATACTCTTACCTCCAGGGAGATTTCCCTAACACCATCTTGGGCCTGGACACACTCTCTGGGCCTCTCCTGATTGAGGCCCTCTGTTCTGCTTTCCTGTCACTTGGTGAGTGACTCAGATGCTTCCCAAAGGGACCAGAAGCTCTGGGGTCTTTACGATGGCCACTGGTGCCACAAGAGTCAGCCTTGGTGAATGAACACTGGTAATGGTAGCAATGCCAAGGGCCCCTGAGATAGCTGAGAAGTTACCCTTGGGAGGAGAAACTGGACTGAATGCCCCCTCTATTTACCCTCCTCTTTATCTTCCTACCCCTCCAGACTCCCAGTCAGAGACCACAGAGACCTGGACACAGCAGGAAGATGGCCATCCCACCTCAGCCGCAGCCTTCCAGCTCTGGGTGGGAACATAATGCAGTCAATGAACCACAGCTGTCCAAGCTCCAGTCCCTCTGGAGGGCAAGCCATGAGATATCACATCAGACAGAGGCTGAAGGCTGAAAGAAGAGACTGAGATAGCCTCTGGCTTTCTAGACGCACAAAGCTGGAACTCTTCTGCCCCTGATCCCTCCACCACACCTGTTAGTTTCAAACATCTAGTGACCAGGAATAGGGTTGGGGCCTACAGTACCCCAGCAGGACACAGGACCAGCTTCTATGTTTTATGTGTGTGTGTGTGTGTGTGTGTGTGTGTACATAAAATTGTGTGTGTATGTATGTATATATGAACATCTCTGTGTGTATGTGTCTGTGTGTGTTTCTGTGTGTGTGTGTGTGTGTGTGTGTGTGTGTGATGTACATTCGTGCACATGAGTGTGAGAGAGGTCAGAAGTGAATGTCAGCTGTCTTCTTTTCTATACCCCCTGATTTTTCTAGACAGGATCTCTCACTGATTGGCTAGACTGGTAGGCAGCAAGCTCCAGGGATCCTCCTGCCTCCACCCCTGCCCCCCAGTTCACCAAATGGCTAGACCAACTGGCCAGCAAGCTCCCGGGATCCACATCTCTGTCCCTCGAGTGTCGGGGCTACCGAGGCCTGCCACTGAGCACCGGTCATCTGAACCAAAGCCCTCGCCTTGCATAAGCAGCAGTTAGCCAACAGAGCCTCGTCCCCAGCCCTTGTGGCCTGGGCTTGGTTTTTCTTTCTTTCTTTCTTTCTTTTTTTGTGAATGAAACTTCAGCTGGGCTTCCTGCAGCTGACCACGCCCTGCAGCTCTGCCTTGACCACTGTATAACCCCAGGGGACAGACAGCAGAGGGAACTTCAAAACGAAAGTGTGAGTCACACAGCAAGAAGGAAAAAATGAAAAAGACATTCTTTAGTTGCTAGAGGCTGGACTCCAGGTCCCAGGAGCCTGGGCCTCAAAAGCGGCTCCTGCGAACCGGACCTGTTCACTGCACTGGTCCTTCCACCCCTCCAACTCCATATGGACAGGGAAGGGCTGCCCACTCCCAATCTCTGTCTGGGGCACTTGGCAGGAACGGCGAGGTGTCCTCGAAGTCAGTGCCACATTTATCCCCTCCACTGATGAACAGTTAGTAAGCAGCTGCATTGAAGCAGGTAAGAGCTACGGCCCAGCCAGGCCAGGTCCGCCCTCCCGGATCTCCCACAGCCGCTGCAGGAGGCACAGGAGCAGGGTCTTGGGTTGCCGTTGGGGTTACAGGGCCAGCCTAGCTGGGCAGGAAGGAGGCAACACTGAGCCCACAAGGTGGGGACAGGACTGCACGTGGAGCAGAGGGCAGGCAGCAGAAGAGTTGCTTGGGACAACAGAGCCTCGGATGGTGGCTAAGAGAAAGCTCAGCCAGAACAGGACAAGGACTTGGGCAGGGTAGGATACACACATCAGGGAGGTCCATCAAGCCCACGCTTGCCTTCAGAGCCCAGTGTTGGTGGGGCAGAAAGGAAAGCCACTGTGTGCTTTATAGACTTTGGGGAAGTCACAGCCTCCTCTTGCTGGGGGGGAGGCAGGAAACCCCCTCCATCCAGGCGTCTGCCAGAGCACCCACAGGCTTCCTCTTGTCTCAGCCCCCCTCCCCGCAGCCTCTTCCCTTGAACAGCCTCCCTCTCCTGGCCCTGATGTCTCTTTAAAGGAACTTGAATCAGAGTTTAGAACGATGGTGACTCAGGGTGGAAGCGGTGGTCACTTGCACTGGCCAGTCACCAGGACTGCCGCACAAAAGGAAGCAGAGCCACCACTGCTGCCCCTGTGTGCGCCCCTGTGAGGGCCAGAGACCACAGAATCCCATTTGAGATTCCACCACGTTGGAACTGGTATCATGAAGTTACCCCCTCACAATGGGGGCATTCAGGGCCCACCCGCGCCTGCAGGGCTGGGGCCTGTTCCTCGGGCCAGCTGATGGTGATGTCATCTTCCGTTAGGAGGTCCCCCCCCCAACCCCGTTGACTAGGGACTTAAAAAAAATGCACCAGGAAACTCAAGTGCAAGCCAGAACGGAAGCCTTGGTTTTATTTATAGCTGATAACTTGCGTCCGGCTTGCTCCACGGGGTGCAGAGCCTGAGGATAAAGAGCCCACAGGGGCAGATGACAGAAGGGCTCGTGTCCTGCCACTGTGCCATCCAAGAGCAAGGAGGAAGCTTCATTCTGAGCTTCCCAGCAGCCCAAGCAAAGAGGGGACAGAGTGCTATAGTGTGATAGCATAGAGAACCAGGTTGCGAACCTGATGTTCTGACTAGCTGAGGCCCCATGCATGCCTGCATGGCATCCAGCAGTGTCTAGAGCATGTTATGGGCCTGGCTAGGTGAGGATGATCCTCAGAGAGAAAGGGCAAGAGCCTTGCTCCCCTTCCCCAGCACATGGTAGACATCACCAACAGATTAAAGCACTCCTTCCTCTAGCCAGTTTCTGCCTCAGAGTCCCGTTCCACACAGTTCTCCGGGGAATGCTACCAACGGCCAGTACACAGAGCTAGAGAGTGCTGAGCTTGTCCTCTGGGCTGGTGACCAGCTGAGGAAGTTCTGGGAGGGCCCAGATCTGAGACATTCCTAGCACCTGGCTTATGCCTACATATGGAAGATGCCAAATAAAAAACTGTCTGCTAAAGGCAGAAAAGGGAAGGACCTAAGGTAGGGGAAGAGCTGTGTGTGAGCCACACAGGAAGTTATCGGTGAGGACCTGGACCCTGAAAAAGAATCTGCCAGGAGGTGGGCGTGTCGTGGCCCCGCCTGGCCTGGCTTCCAGTCACAAGTGCCAGCATTTTACAGGGCCCCTGAATCTCATGAGGCTGAGATTGTGGGGGTCAGGGGTGGTCATGGCTGGGCCATGTGCCCTCGGCAACGGCCAATCCTTATCAAGGTACTTGCAGGTTCCACTCCACAGTCATGGGTGGCTGTGCACTTTCCGCCCAGATCTGACTCTTTCTCCACAGCAAATAGCTCTCTAGCTTCTTTTCCACAGGCTTATCTGAGGCGCGTTGCCCGGCCACCTCACAGAAGCTGCACCTCAGAGCTATACTCTCCGGCCTTGTGTGGCCCCCCAGGGCACTTCCCTGGTAGCCTGGCCTACGTAGGGCTCGTCCCATCTTCTCCCTGGCTGTGCTCAAGGGCCTCCCAGGCCAGGCCGGGAGAGACTCAGACACGTGTCCGGCAGTTGCTCTGTCTGCGGCACTACTGTGGGGATGTGAGGGGTTCTCTCTGCCTGGGAAGCCTCACCTGAGGGCAGAGGCGGCCTGTGAGGGATGTGTCACAGCTCAGGAGCACTTAGCGCGCAGCTCAGCTGGCGGTGGCTGTTGGCACTCTACCTGGTGTGAGGGGCCAGGTGCAGGCACAGCCCCCAGGGGACCAGGCTATAGAAATACAAGGTGAGGAGGCAGTCACAGCTGAGGGGACACCTGCTCTCCGAAAGGCCCTCTCTTTTGTATGGGGTGGGCTGTGGGGCATCAAGGGGAAGAAACCATGCATGGGCGGGACTTCCTGGAGGGCAGGGGCCGATTCCTGATTTTAGGCACTTCTTGGTAGGAAGGGCTGGCTCCCTTCTACATCAACATTTCTTTCTCCGGGGTTAAGGCCGGGCAGAAGTCACAGACAGGCACACCAGGTGAACTGGTGCCCAAGTCACAGTTTCATTTGTGGGCCACACCCCTTAGGGACCTTAGAACCCCAGAGATGAAGGCCATTCATTCATTCACCTATTCACTCACATCACAACTCTGGCATTAAAATAACAACAGCTGCCAGTGAGAGAACCGAGGTAAGGGCTGCCCACACAGCTGGGGCCACCCTGGGGGGCTACAGTTGTTCTTATAACAGGTGATGCAGGCCTGAGGCACCCACCTCACATGGGAGTGCGGTGCAGTGTGGTAACTGGGGTGGAACAGAACCCTGGGGGTAGAGGGGCAGAGTGAGGAGGGCTCTTTCAGTACCAGACCTCTATTGACCTTCTAGAAAGCAATGGAAACAGGTCTGCATGAGTCCTGTAGACTCAACCAACACTCTGCCCTCCCCTGTTCCTTCCTGATCCTCCAGCATCCCAGATTCCACAAGAGTTTGGTGAGAACTTTCCTCTTTGTGTGTGTGTGTGGGGGGGGGTTCAAGGTGGGGTTTCTCTGTGTAGCTCTGGCTGTCCTGGAACTCACTATGTAGATCAGGCTGGCCTCAAACTCAGAGATCCACCTGCCTCTCCTGCCCAAGTGCTGGGATTAAAGGTGTGTGCCATCATGCCCAGCTCTGGAGAGCACTTTTAATGTGCTTTGCCCACTGCTAAAAGAGGGTACAGGGCAGAGCTCAGGAAGTCAAGATCCCCAGCTCCTCTGAACAGACAATGGTCAAGCTCCAAGGGAAACCTCAGGGAAGAAAAGAGGGCAGAAAGGGAGGGAGCCTCTGCCGCTGGCACTGTCTGCCACCAGAGGTGGTGTTGTGGCCCTGAATCAGCCGCTGCTCTGCAAGGCATTGTGGGTCTCATGGGCCTTATCAGGACCTTGACTTTGCCCCCAGGGCTGGGGACCCTGGAACAGCAGAGACAACGTCTCACTCCCCGCCTCTAGAAACTTCCTCCAATTGCTGAGTTTTCAGGGTAGGGCATGGACTTCCCATGAGCTGGTCACCTGGACAGAAACAGTGAACAGGAAGGATAACGAGGCTCAGGGACCAATCCAACATGGAGGCAGAGACAGGGCATCCAGAGCTATTCAGCTCCAGGCCACCGCCGCAGGAGGGGTGTGACTCCTCGCTGGGGTCACACTATGCTGGAAATGCTTGTGGATAGCTGCTTTGGTATCCAAAGAGAATGTGTGGCTCCTCCGGCCACAGGGAGTACAGTCAGGCCTCCCAAGCCTCCCTAGACTGCTCCCAGAATCCTGCCTACTACAGGGCCCCCCTTTCCCTCCAACTTGCCCATCAGCTCCACCTACTGGCTGCTCAGGGCAGGCCCAAGAGGCTTGCTGAAGAGAGAGACTGATGTCTCAGTGTGTCCCCATTTTAAAGATGGGAGTAGAGGCCGAGGGAGAGGAAGTCCACTTGAGGGTCACCTTGCCAGAGAGAGGTGCTGGCCTGAGACCTCAGCAGGCTTGCCTCCCACAGCTCTTCTCTGTGTGGAGCAAGCAGGGGAGATGGCTGTGTCCACTGTGGAGTCCCATAGTCCCACACAGCTCCTGAAACCCAAGCCCACTTTGATTACCAGAGTTCATTTCTTTGGGCTGATGTTTGCCTCTGATGTTGGCCCCAACAGCCCAGTTGAGTCCTCATGGGAGGGGAGAAAACAGAAATCTGAATTTGTCACTAGAAATTCTCTCCTCTGTCTTCTACACTCAAAGTGTGTACCAGACTAACCGTCAACCCATGGACGACAATGATGGTAGTGATGGTGATGGTGAGTGTGGTGATAGTGATAATGGTGATGATAGTAATGTTGGTGACGGTGACAGTGATTATGGTTAAGATGATAGCGATGTTGATGATGATGGTGATGAGTGTGATTACTATGGTAGTGATGTCCACAAAAGTAATGATGATGGTGGTGATAGTTATGGTGATGGCCGTGATATTAATGGTGGGGATGAAGGTGATTATGATGGTGGTGGTGGTGATGGTGATGATGGTGGTAATAGTTATGGTGATGGTCATGATATTAATGGTGGGGATGAAAGTGATTATGATGGTGGTGGTGGTGATGGTGATGATGGTGTCAGTGGTAATAGTAATGGTTACGATGGTGATGATTGTGGTGACAATGGTGACGGTGGTGGCGAAGGTGGTGATGGTGGAGACAACTTGCTCTGAACACGCGACTATAGTGACAGTGTGTTAGCTCCGTCTACTATGTTATCTCAAGAAGGAAGCTGAGACTGGGAGGCTTAAGCCACCTCACTAGTTAGCAGCAGAACCAGAGGAACAGCTGGCAGGTGCATCAGAGCCACACTCCCCCTGCCCCTCAAGTCTCCCCTCACACCGCCTTGCTGTATTCTCAGACCTGCCTGTGTCTGTGCCCCTTTGGGGATGTTTCTTGTTGGTCCCCAAAGTGTTATGTCTCTGTTAACTACATAACTACAAACTTGGCTGTTCTTCTTGAATGGTGTTTGTTTGTTTTTTTTTTTTTTTTTTTGGT